TGGGGAGCTGGGGTTTTTTGGGGGAGGAGGGAAGTAATTTTTGGCTTTGCTCCCGCATGAGAAAATAAATTAGTTGAGGCCAAATGTAGCCTTGAAATTCACTTATGTTGCAGCGACCAAGTCAATGAGAGAGTCGTCTCCCAACATGATCAGTTTGATAAGTGATTGTTTTACTAACAACTTAAAAATTTAAGTTAAGAACATGTATCAGTGCCACAGTAAACGTTTTAAAAGGCCAAATGGTGTTAATCATCCGGTAGTGTTAATAGTCCCTTTTCTGTTTCAGATCCAGTCCAGATGTGTTTGAGTCCCGTATGGAAAAAAGAAATGAAGTGAAAAAGCAGCCCGTGGGATATTGCAAGCAAGGAGAGTTTATTAAATGTATGGAGGAAAAGGCAAGGCCAATTTATTTTGTAATTCACATAAGCTATAATGTAACTTATCAAAGATCATCATAATGCTACAAACATGCAGTGTTCCTGTTAGTAAGGAGACCCAGAATGTCACTCTGGTGGCTAAAAATATTGTTCTATATTATAATGTTTTTCAGACAGTAAATTCTGTGCTCAAGGCCTTATTTAAGTGTTTAATTAGTTCCAGATTAGTTTGGCCCGATAGAGTGGCATGATCATGCTTTTGTAGTGAATGAAAGCAAGCTGTTCAATAATATTGGATCCAAAATGCATAATAGTTTGCTTTAATCCTTCCTGATCTTGAAATTCATAGTTCAGATTAAGTAACTTAATCTTCTTATTCTCCTAACCAATATTTTATTGTAATAAAATGCACCACAGCAATCTCTAATGATCTTAAATTCGAGCTCATACTGAGGAGATCTTGTCAGCAGGCATGTCATGTGTGGCAGGGAAGGCAAATAAATGGTATTAAAGCATCAGCTACAAAAACTAAAGAAGAATGTTTTCTTCTAGGCAGAAGGCTTGGGCACAAAGACATCAAAGGGAGGGTTCACAAAAGATAAGGTAAGGGAAATGAACCTAAGTGTTAGGAGGGAACATGCTGGCAAATGAAAGATGTAGATTAACTTGTGTTGCTACAGTCAATGCTTCAGCCAAGAACTTCTTGAGACAAAACTAATGTTCCTTGTGCTGCGCTTGGTATAAGATACTAATTTTCTATTCGGATCACATTGAAGTCTTAAAACTCATGTCAGTCTGTTTTTATCACCTGGTCCTTTCTCTCTTGACAACCTGGAAGTTCCTACAAGTTAGGGGATCTGTACTGACAGCTGACAGTAATAAGCTGAAAGGGTTAAGTTTCCTTTACAGCATGTAAATACATTTCCAAAGATCAGCCAGCAGAGGGACAAGAGAATGGTTTTATTCCTTCATGTTCTTGTATTTTGGCAAACTTTCTGTGTAAATCTGCCAACAGAGCATGTGTCTCAGATGGCTGAAAGGGAAAGGCTGCAGCTCCTCTTGCAGCTTCAGTAGAGAGCTGCACAACTGGAGCAAAGGATAGTCTGTGTCCTGACAGAATCTCTTCTATTCTGCCTTTGTGTGTGAATCCACTTCTCGGTGTGTTACTGCTTATGACTTACTAGTTTCTTTGGCAATTCAAAGGACTTAAGTCACATTGTAAATTAAATCAAGTTCCTCCAGTTTGATTTTTGGTCTCTGTAATTGCATTCATTCATTCTGGATTCTCACTTGAATCAGAGAACTGTCACCATGCCAAAATCCTTATGCTTTCTCTTGCAGACGCTTGATTCAATTCTTAATGTTGAGATGGTAAAAGAAAAATCAGCAGAGGAGATAAAACAGGTGATGTATTTAAATGGAATAAAGTTTCCTCCACATCTGTGCTTAATAGTAATCTACATGTGAGGCTGGAAATTTTACTTAGACTGAAAAATAAAACATGGCTACGGATGTATATTTATAAAAAGCACATTCACATACATAGCAATAATAGAAGATAAAGTTTTCTTTGTATAGATAAGTCCACCTAGGATGCACCTACTTGATAAATAATACATCTAGACTTGATCGTTCAAAACCTGTCTCTATTGTAATTCTTATTGTTGCTATTTAACACGTAGCAGTTGAATTGGCATCAGCATGCTCCTGTCAGGTTTGAAGCCACATGAAGGGAAACGCTAGCAGTAGCTCATGTGGATTATGCTATGACTGTTTTGCAGGAATAAAAAAGCCTTTGCCATCTTTTATCTTTACTTGCGTTATCTGTCACTCAGGAGTCTGTACTCTCACTAAAGTTGGTTAGGGTAAGAAGGAGGTGGGTGGATCTGTTTGTTTGAAGAACAGTGTGGATCAAGTTATTCTCCCTAATATCTACTTGGCTTTGCACTTTATTGCCTTTTATTGAGTTACAAGTCACATCTCTTCCACATTTCTGATGTAGCTTGGGTTGGATCTTGTATTTTTTTTCCTAATTGGACCATATGCCAAGAAACTTTGTGTAGGCATGATCATTTAAGCACATATGAAGGAGCCTTCTGGCATGGTTTCTGGCAGAAATCTAGCTGCTTTCCTGATAGCTTGAGAACACTATAGAAGTAATTATGTGTTTTGTAGGGGATGGTGTGCGACCAGTTAGGGAGTGGATTGGACTAATGAATTTCCTTTTGAGTTCTTCTCTCTCTTTCATTGTTTAAACATTTTACTCTAATTCTTCTTAGTTATGTAGGACTGGGGAAGAACAACTGAAAGTCCTGGATTCTGGGCTTTTGCTTGTACTTGTCCGTTTATTAAGGACCCTGAGCTTTTATGTAGGTATTGCCATCTGGCTGTGGTGAAGAAAAAGATTGTGAATGCAGAGGAGCATTATGCAAAGTGTTGTCCTGTTCTTTATTTAAAAAAGCTCCAAAAAACCTCAAACCCTGTAGAAACCATTAGCATGATTACTGGGAAAAATGTAAGAAGCACTTCTGATGGCTAGTAAATCTTGAGCCACCTCTGAGCCCACTGCTTATTTCTGTTACCTTGTTGAAATCTGTCATTTGGTACAAGTATTGTGGAGCTTTAGGAGAAGTGTATTGCGTTAGCAGGAAAGTCAGTCAGGCTTGATTGGAAAAATGACTTCTTAAGGTGCTTACAAAGGTTAATTGACAAATGGAATTCTTTTTAAAGCATTTAGTATGACTGCTAGGTGCTTGATGTTAACTGTAGCTCATCTCCTTTGTTTCCTCCAGATTTGGAATCAGTATTTTTCTGCAAAAGATACGGTTTATGCTGTTATTCCTGTAAGTAGTTCCCCTGTAGTTATGCACTTGAAAGGCCAGTGTGCAAACCTTGCCACTTTCTGCAATTCTGTTGCTTTTAAAAGCAGTCATTGAAGGAAAATGAAGTTTCAAGAACAAACTTTCCAGATTGAGTGGTCTTATTGCCCCAAGTAAGGACTTTTGTTTGCAAAAATGTGTATCTTTTTTTCCTCACTTACATCAGTCTAAATAAAGCTAGTACTATTTTCTGCACACCTGGCTTGAATTTCCAGGTATTTTTTTCATGAGTATCTAATACTCTTCACAGGGCCCTAGTATCTTTTAAGGTAGCATTTGTATTTTCACATCATTTTTACTTAGAGTTGCTCATTTCTTTCCCCTCTTCCCTGCAGCATGGACTGCTAACTCGAAGTTTAATATGGCAGTGTTAGAGCAGTTGGCTAATAACTTGGCACGTGGCTAATCACTTATGACTTACTTTCATACATTTAAAATTATTGGCAGCACTGTCTTTCATTGAGATTGCATGGTGCTTCCTGTGATAAGGTCATATTTCTTATTCCTGATAACTTTACCAGATGCTAATTGTTGTTAATCTGCGTTAGGCTGAAGGAGGTTTTTTTCGCTTTTGGGATTTCTTTTTATTCTTTGCTTCAGAGTCTGTATGTGATCGTGATCTCTTAAATCGGTCTTTTCACAGCTGGGCACGAACTGTGTGTTCCTTCAGTTCTCGAAACCTCATTTAGATCTGGGATCTGATTTGCAATTGTACTTGGCTCTTCAAGCTGCAGCTAAAGTCAGTGGGAGACTGTATTGTAAATGTATGAAGTGCTGTATGCTCTGAAAATGGCAACATGGGCTTTGAAGTCAAGCAGCTTTGTGTTCCAGTTGTCCCAACATGTGGATGTTGTGAAAATAGTTTGAACTGCACATTAACTGCAGCAGAAGGCCAAAGCCAGGGACTTCAGTTAAGATGGCGTAGCTCTTTCATTAGTGGGGCTGGCGCTGCTCTTTGCACCGTTTTAGAGGAGCTTTGGAAGCTTTTAAGGCTTTAATGCAAACCAGATCATAGGCACATTAGGAAGTAGTTCATGGTGTCGTCAGGGGAGAAACCTATGACTTTTGCCAGAAGCTTTTTGTTGGCTGGAAGAAAGGCCTCGTGTAATTCGTGAGTGCTCAAAAGCACACCCGGAGGAATTTTGTGTTGATGAATGGCATATGTTTTCTTTCATGAACACCTTAGAGTAGGTATTAATACATGGTGCTGGAAAGAGAAGAACAGGCAAAAGGTTTGGGGGAATGCAGAGGACACATGATTGAGATTGCCAGGTTTCATCAACGATGACCAAATAAGTTTGTGGGTTTAATATAAATCTAAGCAATAAGTATATTATTTGAGTAAATATCTAGGCTGCTCTTTAATATTGAAGAATAGATGACCATGATGTAAGATCTATAGTTTGAGGCCAGGGATATGTCATCTTGCTCAAGTGTTGACACCACATGATATAGTGGAGCTATTACTGAAACAGGACTTAATGTAAGCCTTAATGTAAGCCCCCCACCTCCACGGAATAAAGCTTTGAATTCAAGGAGGCTGCTGCTGCATCTTAGAGTCAGCATTGTTAAAACAGGGTACCAATGACATTTAGATAACTAATAGCTAAATGCAGTTTTCCATGCACTCGTCGTTAGCTGTTCCCGCAGTGAGACCTTCTGTAGATGGAAGTTGTACCCTGTAAAGGTTAATGAGGTGATTCTGGATAACTGTGCATCCATGTTTGTGTTACGAAAATTAAATTTCTCTTTCTCCTTCCCCAAAGGCAGAAAAATTTGATTTAATATGGAAGAGAGCCCAGAAATGTCCATCGGTACGTATGGCAGAGACTTGCAGTGCATGGATGTATAGCTGTAATGCATTTCTCCTCTTTAAAGCCTAATTCATAAACTTTCGACCCTCCTGTATTCAGACTTACTGTATCAGCTCAATAAGTAAAATCCAGGTGTTCAAATACTTGTTTTAGTGTTCAGATAAAAGCAGTGGCTATTCATATGTATTAAACAGTTTGATCTGGGTATCAGATATATAGATGGAAGAGATGCAGGGTTTAGTAGCAAAAGCACAGAAACTCCCAGGGAATGGATTTAACTACATGCCTCCAGTTTCCATTAATTGATGTCTTGTGGTTAACTCTCTTCCGTGCAGTGTTGTGAAGAGCCAGGCCTCGCAGGCCAGCTCCACTGATGTTCCTGCGTATCTTTCCTTATTGCATAAAACATCCTTGCTTTAACCTGAAGGAACTGCTGTTAGCTATAGCTACGTGTCACCATGGCATTATGTTGCATGCACATGGAGAAAATGAATTCTCCTGTCTTATGGTTGGTGTGAGTTGCTCCTCTTCCTTTTTATGTTTGTTTACTGGCAATGAAGAGAGGCAGGAGTATCTGAAAGGGAAAAAGGCAAGAAAACAATGTGTTGGGGTTCTGTCCACAGAACGAGCTGAACCTTGTCATCTATCACCTTGTGTTTCCTGATTGTAAATGTGCATAGCTATGCTTTCTTCACCATACTAGTGATCTGTGATAGGTAAATACTGGTAAGCGAATATGAGCTCTTTATATGGAAGCCAAACTGGGCAGGCAGTATGCTGTGTAAATGCATCTCTGTCTCGTGGGAGTGTGAGTTGTCAAAAAAGACTATATGGCAGTGCAAAATTGAGTAGTCTAAGTTCTGTTGCAGAGGATCGTAATTTGACAGCTGTGACAGGAGAAGTAAGGAGGGAATTGGGTGTAGATGAACCCTCTATTAAAGATAGGGAGTAAATACTCTGTGGATTGTTTCTTAGGTGTCATGCTGGCATGACAAAGCATAAAATACTGAGAATGCTTAATATGGTTATTTCAGGAATGAGTGGATTCCCAAGATTTGGGTTCACTATTTCTCCGGTGGGTTGGTGGGTATCTTGTAAGCTTCAATTAGAAGATTCCTGTGTGAATGATCACGTTGTTGCTTTGAAGAAATTAAACTACAAAAGAGCAGAACAGCTAATAAGATAAAGAGTATATTCTGCAGTTTTATACCACATGCTGCTGGATTAGTATTGTTTTCTGTTGAAAGTACTGTGTTTTTACAGTAATTTGTGCACTGAGGCATGGACTTTGTGCAATTTTCACTGTGCTGAGACAGAAATTACATGCTTCACTCCTTTATGAAAACAAGTAGCTAGACTTTGCTGCGTTGAATACTTTTGTAGATCTGAATGGGAGACTTTACTGGATTGATGGATTGGTCCTGTATATTTCAGTTGCCAAGAGCAAGATCAAATATATCTGACTTCCCAAGCTACTCAGAGCTTGGAAAGTTATTTATAGCTTTAACTGCATTTCTGTACAGTGCACTGGCATTTAGTCAGGTATCCTGCCTGTTTTTCTGCTCCCATGTTGTCCTTTCCCTTGGTGTGGGAAAGTGAGCAAGTCCTTAGCCTTATGGAGCCAAATAGACCACAAATCTCTAGAGAGAAAATACTTGCTGCCAATTCTGGAACAGTTGGTGAAATTACAGGATTTAAAAACTCTAAATGCTTCTTATCTTCTATTTTACCATTTCTGCTGTTAATTTTCTAGAAGTGAATGAAAAGGTCAGAGTCTGAACGTTCTCCCTGTCCTTTCCTTTCCTTTGACTGTCTCATAATATTGATAAAAATATGTGCCAACATACTTGCTAATGAAATAATACTGATAAGGTAATGCTGGTTTATTGTCTGTGTTGAAGTCTGGTTCCTGCTGTCCTATCACTCCTGGTGGGGCAAAGAAACCCCTTTTTCTGTTGTGGCTCTCTTGCTAAAGAATTTATGCTGGAGACCACTATGACAGAGGCATCACTTTATTCTATGAAAGGGAGAATTGTTTGGGTTTTTTTTAATCATTTCTCTACAGTTTCTATATGCTTTGCCAAGAAAAGAAGGCTATGAGTTCTTTGTGGGGCAGTGGTCAGGAACAGAATTGCACTTCACTTCCCTAATAAACATTCAGGTGAGTGGTTGAAATAAAAAGTAAAAAAAAAACTTAGGATCCAGAAATATATAATATCAGCATATTACAATATATAATATTTTGTAAATAGTTTAGTGAACAGGTTGTCTAGCTTAACTTGAAAATTGTCAGGGAAAAACTTCCATTAATTATGTGTACTTAGTAAATTTATGGGTATTAAGTGTCTCTAAAGGACAATGAGGTAGAAGTCAAACAGTTTGAAAATAGAAGCAAGGGCCAAACTTCTTAGAACTGTTTGTGCAAGCTACTTAAAATACCAGTAGATGCTATGAGATGAAATGTCTTTCTGGAAGTTACAGGTTCTTTTAAATGCAAAATAGTCTTTAGTCAAGAAAAAACTCAACCTAACTCTGCAAATCCCTTGTTCTCTGTAAATACCAGGAATAATGAACTTTTAATTAGAACTTGCCCTTAAGCTCTGAAAAATCACTGTCTCCATAGCAGTTAATACTCAGAAGTTTTGTAATCAAGGCTCCAAATCTGCAATAGAGCTAAAGTTCTTTATGGGATACTTATGGGATATTTATCTCCTTCAGACTCAGGGTGAAACTGCTCCTAGCCAGTTGGTCTTGTACCATTATCCTGAGCTGCAGGAGGAAAAAGGCATAGTACTAATGACAGCAGAAATGGACTCAAAGTTCCTGGTAAGAGAAATCTGTTCATTGGCTTTCTTCATTTTATGCTGCAACTCTTCCTATAGTTTTGAATTAAAACCAAATTTAAGGTCTTTAAAAAACCCTTTCCCAAAGAGTGGTCTCACTAGATTTCTTTAACCTAACCTACCTAATACTAGGGAAAGCTGGAAGGAAATCATCAGTCTTTGGCTATCTGGTGATTTCAGCTCACTCTTCCCCCCTGGCTTCCTTACTCTGGGTATTATAGTTTATTGCTGTAAAAAAAATAGAAACGCTTCTGTTTTTCTTATTAACGGAAGCAAATTTAAATTAAAGCTGTTGCTACCTGCCCACAAGTTAAAACAGTGAAGCTTAATGCTGCTCATCAAATCAGGAGACCTCTGGAGCTTTGTGTTAGGTTTCAGCGTGCCTTTGCTCTTTTCCCTCTGTGTGGGTGTACTGTTATTTGCGTATCTGTCATAGTACGGTGCTGGGACTAACAGCACTAGGGATTATGCTGGTGGAACAAGATAACTAAAGCATCCCACCTCTAACTGACCTACTTACACCAGTTCTGAAACTCTGTGCTGAGGAGTCTTGGTAATGCATTTGCCCTTTGGTATCTCAGACCAAACAATCAATTTTTGCAAATAGGTCAACTGGAAGAAGGGAAGGATGAGACTTTGGTGCCTCTCCGGTGCCTTAGAGTAGGCAGGCATCACGAAAGACATCTCTGACCTCTGAGGTGTATGCTCAGCAGGAGAGTGTAGGTACAGTGCTGAAGTCTGTAAGTAGGTCAGGAACAAGAGACGGATGGTTTGTTAAGAGGTTTGCAAAACTAAGGTGACTTGGAATTGAGTCATTTGATGAGTAGGACTGCAGCCTTTCAGCTGCGGAAGAGTCTTTTTCAATGGGATACTCAAATACAACAAAACCTAATGGTAACAGATGCTTTTTTTTAACTTGCAGGTGGTCCATGAAGCACAGTGCTTGGCGAATCAGGTGCAGCTCTTCTATGCAACGGAGCGTTCTGAGACCTACGAATTAGTGGAGACCTTCAACCACAGATCTAGTGAATTTAAATATATGTCAGTTATAGCAGAGCTTGAGCAAAGCGGACTTGGACGAGAACTGAGACCTGCTCAGGTTTCTGACAAGTCATAGAGTCTGACAAGTCATAGCGGGTGAAGAGACCCAGCAGCAGGCAGTGGGTTTCCTAGCTGGGGTGGTCCCATCTTTTGTTTTATGAATTTGGTTTAGCTGCAGAAAGGGTCTGGAGACATCCTGGGAGTGTGATAGTCAAGCATGTCTGGTACTGATGCCAGACGAGGACTTGAGCCATTTGAACGACAATGACTAATTGCTGAAATGGAGCCCTGTGCTTCAGTGTAACTTCATCAGAATGAGCCGTTTTCCTGTCCTGTAACTCACTGCTGCATGTTGTATTTTTGAAATCTGAAATAAAATGAGAGAAGGGGAGCTATGTGATGGACTATACTGACATCAGGAGACAGATAACAATCATTGTTTCTTCTCAGTAAATGCATTTTAAATGCCCTCCACCATTATAATTGCATGGTCCAATGCTTTTTAATCTGTGTGGAATTTGTCTGTCAAGAAAAGAGAATAGGACTGATGCTCTAAAACAGACTCCTCTTTGTTACTTTGTGTGTGGGGTTCCTTACACAGATGTGTAGTGTGGCCTGTGTTTTTCTCAGGATTAAAAACTAGAGTGATTAGATTTGTTCTGGGAATTTTATGCTTCTTAATTGATATATTAATTTTATCCTGTTGCTGTGTTTTTCACATCAAAACATCCTGAGATGTTTTTCTTGAGGAATAGGATATTATAAACATGGTTTTATTTTTGTATAGCTTTGAATAGTGTAGAGGAATTATTGCATGCTTTATAGAATTAATTTTTCTCAGACTGGTAGCTCGTCAGGTAACTCTACAAACGGTATTTGGAGCGACAAAAAATAGCTCTTGTTCCATTTCAAGAAAGCCACTATCTCCAATAAAAGCAAGATGGAATTCCATAGTAACAGAGCTAGAACCACCAACTGGTAAGTGACAACACATGAAAAAATGCGTTGGTGTGAATATGCCCAGAAGCTTTAACAGCATTGGTAAGAATCTGGCTTTTAAGGACAACAGCTGGTTCAATTTTTTAAACCTGCCTTCATCAGAAGAATCCCAAAGCATTCATGCTTTGAGCTTTTCTTGTTTTCATTCCCAGCAGAGGCAGCCAGTGCATCTGTGGACAAGGGCATACTGCAGCAGTGCCAAGTGATGCGCAGTCTGTGTGTGGAGCGCCAGCGTACCACCACTGCACAGGTGGGCAAATAAAAGAGAGGACAGCCAGGAGCTTCCCAGGAGCAATGCTGAAATATTTCCCATATCCCCATCAAATCCCTGGAACTAACTTGCCCTTAGCAGTAATTATCTGTAATGTCCAGGCCACATAGCGTCTTCCCATCAGCCTGCTGAGGCTGGTAAGCATTCCCTCCTTTGCCAAAGAAACGGGGGCAAGAAGGGCAGGCAACTTGTCTGTCAGAGGAAGAGCAATTTTTTTGGGCAGGGCTAGTAACAGATTTTCTGTGCTACCTGTAACCGTGACCTGATAGGGAGGTTTGGTTAGTTACACAGGGCTCTTGCACAACCTGTTTGCTACTGTGATTGTAGGACCGTGGTGCTGTAAGACTCGCTGTCACCCTATTCTTACTCAGCCCATTCTTTGGACATGAACATTGTTCAGCTAAGCACTAAAGGTAGATTGTAAGGTTTTATTGTTGGGGTCTATTTTAGCAGTGACTTGTATATGTTGGAGGATAACTGTCCATTCAGGGAATTTTAAGGTGTTTCTACAACAGGCGCATCTTCCCCTGGGGCTCTGCTGCAAGAAGGTGGTCTTGCTCCCCATAATGTCATCGTCTTGTTTCTGATTGCGTTGAGTCTGTGAGTGTGTGCGTAGCAGCCTGCATAGCAGGGGAATAAGCAGAGGAGATGTGGATAGGGCTGTTATAATCTGAACTGCAAATCACCTTTATTAAGGAGCCTTTCTACTTCTGTTTTACAGCATTCATGCTCCATTTATCATTTTTCCTTAGCTGAAATAAGTCATTATTCACTTCCTGCTTTGAAGAAGTCAAAGTTGCTGTATTCATTTTTAATATAGCTATAATACAACATATCTGGAAGAGTAATGGGCAACAGGAGTGAAATTCAAGGCTTCCAAATCTATACCTGAGCCTCTTTCTGAGCTTAAACGACTAAAGTCTCTAGTAAAGGCTGTGAGCAGTCACTACCTGTAATTTTAAGTAGCTTTTTTCAACCCATCACGTGATTAATCACAAGTTAAAAACTTCTCTAAGGGTTTAAGACAGACAGAAATGGCAAAATCAAGAACAGGAAACATTTCTTGCATTGCATGCATTGGAATGGTTTTTAAATAAGGCCCAAACCGAAAAGGCCAAGTTGATCATGCCACCTTGCAGCCCTTTTGCAAGAGACTGCATTTTCTGTCCCTGGCAGAGGCAGAACTGACTGATGGAGGGAGCAAGAGCACTTTTTTTTTCCTCCAGGTGTATTCATGTGCCTTGAAGTGCATGTCGTAACATGTTTCCTCCTTGTGTCAGGACGAGACCACGTGGCACAGAAATGACTGACTTGGTGTCAATCATCTGGTGCTGGCTGCATCTCCCTGAGGAGCAGAGGAGCAAAGAGTGGGGTAGCCTTGTACGTGCATGTGTGTGCAATGGCAGGGCTATAGCAGAGGCTGAAAGCTGCATTGGGAGGTGTTCCCTGATCTGCTGCTGGGGACGGGGTTTGGTGCAGCCCCAGAAAGTGTTCCCGCTGTGTTTTCTCCAGGAATCCAGTCCGATGGACTGTGCCACTGAAATGCTGTTGTGAGCAGGGAAGCTTCAGTTGCTGTATTCCTGTATGATCTGTTTACAGATTATAATGTGTATTCCTACAGATGATAATATCATGATTAGATGTATTAGATAATATATACAGATTAATGTTAATACAGATTATGACAGCAAATGGCCCTGCAGTGTGACACGCTGTACCGTCAGAGCATCTTGGTCATGGGCAACTGAGTTGGTTTAATATTTGGCAGCCCAGTTCTAGGGTGCAAGTTTGACAGGGTGTGAGTAACCTTCCTAATTTGTAAGTGGAAAAGTGGAAACTTTGTCCTTTTGGAAACGTATGTGCTAGTGTGTGTGCTTGTGCTATGGTTAGGAGTTCAGCAGCACAGTCTAGGATCTGCGCTGACTGTTGCGGTGGTGATGAGGCTGAAACTGGGATAAAGACCAATAATAAAAACATCCTCGAGAAACTCTCGGAAACTCTCGGCCTGATCCTCTGCTAAATGCTTGCTGTGAGGGGGAGTAGCTCAGCTGAAGAATTGGCCCCACAAACCATCCCTGCTGCAGAAGTAGGCCAGCGGTGTTTCGTGGCTGTGTGGCTACTCTGCTGCCTGTGATTCAGCTGTGCATGAACCGTGCTGCTGGCTGCCTGGTGTAGCCTCAGCACATTTGGAAGACATTTGGTGCACTTAGGACCCGTGTTGAGCCTAAGAGCTGGTGAAAACAAGGCTGTTAATCCTGGTGTGGGAAGAGAAGTGTAACTGTAAGACTTGGGTGCTGTACAGCCGCTAGAGGGAAGGTTTGTCTCCTTATTCTGAGCTACCAGCACACAGACAGCTCGCATGAGCCTGTCTACTCAGCTCTGTGAACTCGGGGTGAGTTTTGTGCTTAAAAAACACTTAGATGCCCAGGCTGCTCCTATGTGGTCGATAACATGGTGGGATGCACTGTGTTAGACCCATGATTCCCCTACCCTGGTGTCCTAGATAGCTGCCTCGGGGAGGGCAACCATCCTGCTATAATTTTCCAGGTTGCTTTGCTGATTTCCAGGCTTTTGTGGGTCAGGGTCTTCACAACTGAACCTGGTGCTGTAGGAGCTGCCTCCTTCCCTCTGTGCTGCCTGCTGTCTGCCTCCGGCTGGAGGAGACCCCAAGGCCAAGGATGTGGCAGCAGTTCCTGCTAGGAGCGGTGGAGCAAGTCTTGCAGCCAGAGGCTCTTGTTAGCAGCATCTCAAAACCCAATTTGCCCACGTACCCCTGTCGCCCCAGGGACATGTATCAGAAACCCCGGGAGCCAGTCCTGCTCCCTGGGAAGACACCCTGGCTTGTGAAAGGCGGCTGTTGCAGCCATCAAGGAAGTGTTGACTGAAGGATAATGTTCTTACCCTCACTTAAAATGCTGACTCTAGTCCTTTTTCATCTGTGCCTGTTTTTTTCCCCTGTGCCTTAGAAAACAGCAAGACTCCAGTCCCCTCTGATCCGCAGCTGTGGAAGTTCCTACTCCCTACCTCGGAGCTTGCGCAGGCCTCGGTGGAGTGGGAACGGGGAACTGGCTGTTCCTGATGCTGCATATCGGAGGCAAACTTTTGTGGGAATGTCCTTTGCCTCTCTGGGAATAACCGGAGCAAACCTACTGCTCCCTTTGCTGTGTCTTGTGGTCTGCACAAGCACGCAGAGCCTCCACCCCCTGGCCGGCGGGGTGCTGTGCTGGTGGGGTGCTGTGCCACTGGGGGCATGCCGTGCAGGGCATCGCGTGGCCGGGGAGAGCCTGGCCTGGCGCCGCAGCTGTGTCCTGCCGAGCCGTGCGAAGCCACATCGCTGTTGGGCCTCTTTCCACGACTGCCCGTGAGCTGCAATGGAGCCGTCCAGCACTCTGGGCTCACTTCCTTCCCTGCTTCCTTCCCCTGGATAAATTCAGCTGTGCACCTGCCTTTGGGAGCGGGGCCATCCCCTGCCTCTTCCTTCCGCCTGGGCAGACAAATGCCCTCTTCACAATAACACATCCCTCCTGCCCCAAACCTGCCCCTCCAGCCTTTTCCTCCTTCCCGAGTGACTCCTGCCCTCCCCGCCCCTGCAGCTGGGACCCTGGGCGGCTCCGGGACCGTGGGCTCTCTGCTCTGCAAGGTTTCCAAAGCCTCGTGCGAGGGGGTAACTCCCTGACCAGGAGAAGCTGCTCGCCCCAGTGCACTTGCAGGGCTGCAGCTGATGCAACTTCAGCCCTTGTGCTGTTTCCCCGGCCCCTCTCCTTTTGGCTCCAGACTGCTGAGGGTGGGAGGACCCCATCTCGGCCCTAAGTATTTTGGCTCCATCTTGCCTCAATGTAAATCCTGGCCATGAGTTCCCTTCCGGATCTTTGCTATACAGCCAAGCCCCCTCAGTTTTGGAGTTGTGCCCAGTTTTTGCTGGTGTTTCAGTTGAAAGTTTCCTCCTGGCTTGGCATTAGCTGTCAGGAGTTACATCTGCTCCACAGACCTCCGCCTCCCCTCGTGATCTTAAGCGTGTTACTTCGACCTGAGACCATCTGCAATGATCACAAGAGATTCGCTCAGGAGCAGCGCCAGGCTGGTGTGGAAAAGGTTCTGCCTCTCTAAACCACCCTGTTGGT